GCGCCGCTGCCCCTTGACGACCGATCCAAGAAGAAGGCTGAGATTACCAGCCGGAGGCTTTTCCCAGACGCCTACATGGAGACAGTTGGCAACTATGCCGTAATGAACGCCCTAAACTTTAACAGCCCATAAGCCATGCCGTCGCCGGCGGGAACAATTAGCAACAAAACCAGCAAAAACAAAAAAGATCTCTCAGTTGAAGATCGATTTTTTGTAAATTTAGGGTCATTTAATAGGAATTGATCGAATTCATTTTTTCCATTATGAATTCCAAATCCAAATAATTCTTGTGCTACCAAACACCGAAATTGAAATTGAAGTCTTCAATTCCAATTTTATAATTTGAATTCCGTGTACCAAATGAGGTCTTAATGATATACAATTCTACAGAACTGAATTCATCAATTTCAATTCATTTTTTGCACTACCAATTCCAAATCCATATAGTGTTTGTGTTATCAAACACGAGAATTAGAATTGAAGTCCTCAATTCCAATTTCATAGTTTGAATTCCGTGTACCAAACGGGGCCTAAGTGTTGACTTACGAAATTCTCATAAATTTTGTTTCTCATAAATTCTCATAAGAAATTTTCCTAAATCAAATGCGATTAAGATTATACTCCTTCCGTCCCATTTTATAACGTCTGTTTTGGTTTACGATATTTGACTGAAATTATTTTCAAATCATTTTATATGACAAGTGGTATAGTGTTAAAAAATAAAAATGACATATTAAAATACTACATCAAAAGATCTATAAAACTAGTAGTGACAATAATGCTTTATTTTGTCAACTTGCTAACGAAAATAGAGAAAGAAACAAAATGAAGTTTGACCTTGTGAATAGTGAACATGCATTATAATTTGGAACCGAAGGAGTAATATAGAGGAAGAATGATTAATTAAGCCGGTCCCACCAGTTTAAATCTATTGTGATTATCAATCAGCAAAATTCACAATATACCAGTAGACAACTTCTAATAATTGAAATTATCACAATACCATTAAAAACCACTCTTGGCGAGTAGAGGTGACAATCGGATCAACCGGATCGGTTTTGGGTTGGATTTTTTCGGTTCGGATATCTTTCGGTTATATGTTATAATCGGTTCGGTTCGGTTAAATTTTGGTTCGGATTTGATTTCGGTTCTATACATTTTTCGGTTCGGTTTCGAGTCAGTTCAGATACGGTTCGGTTATAAATCGGTTCGGATAGATTTCGGTTCGGATACAATTTGAGTCAGATATATTTCGGTTTCGGGTCTAGTTCGGTTCGGATATATTTCGGTTTCAGGTCTAGTTCGGTTCGGATATATTTCGGTTTCGGATCAAATATATTTTGGACATATATTATTTTCTAATTAAAATTTAACTATCCATGTTTCTTTTTATGTTTTATCACATTTATCAATCTATCATCAATTCAATACCTCATACGGAGTATTATTTTATACGTATTTTTTTCTAGTTATATTATCTCTACCCTAAATAATCTTTCCTTTTTGACTTTTTAGTCATATTTTACAAATTTGGACTACAAATTATGAAAACATATACTCCCTCCGTTCTCAAAAACGCTTCCTCTTTCATTTTTTTCACTTCCAACAAAACACTTTCACTTTCGATTAAAAAACCACTTTTACCCTTACTTTTTCATACTCTACCTATCACATCATACTTTTTCTCTAATAATCTACACATCACATCTTACTTTTACTCATCACATCAAGGGCAAAATTGGAAGTCAACTACAAT